AAATGAACCACATATTAACCCAGACAGACACAGATCTTACCTGTGTTATGATAATAATAACTGTATGTTTGGTATAGCCATGAGTGAACGTATAGGGACTATTCCATGATGAAACACTGTAAGTCACCAAACTAATAACAACTCCAAATGTATATAATAAACTATTCTGTAAATGTAGTGAGGACTGCAAGAAATGAGAATCAGGTGATATATCAGAAAGGCAGAGAGACTGAGGGAAGGGAGGGAGGGAGGGAGGGGCAATTGCCATGTATTGATGCAATTATACGTTATCTATACAGTATTTGATATATGTCACATCTTGGGTGTGCTTACATTGCCATTCAAGTTCTCAGTTTATAATGTTTGCTTTTTAATCATATTATATAATAACCAATAATTATTTCTGATGAGAAATTATTGTTAAACTGTTCAGATAAAAATGTGTTTTTTTCATTACTATAAAAAATGTATTAGAAGTCGTGGCTTCCATTAAAATAGTACAATGCAACAGAAGAGATGCGGCTTCTATTAGAGCATCTACACGTATGAGGAATGGTGATTTTTTGGGTCTCATTTGTTCAAAAAGAATGGGTGCGACTTCTATTAGGGATGCCGCTTCTAATACAGATTTTACGGTACTTATTTGGCTTGCACATGTTTCTACAAGAGATGAACAATTAATATAACAAGACAAACAGTGTTATGTAAATTGCTTTAACTTCAGAAGAATTATTGTGTATTTAGTGAGTCAGTGAAAATTATATAGTGACAGTAACTTCATGACATTTTATTCTCGCAAACAACATCAAATTGCTACATGTAGCATTAAAATGTTTATTATATCCTGATGCAGTAAGTTCCATTCCAATAATTATTTGGATTATAATTAAAATGTAGGGTACAAGCTTCTCGAAGCACAACAAACAAAGTCTTGAAGCGAGCTCAATGATTATTACTTTACTCTTTAACGGTATAACAGCAACTGAACACAGAACAAATTGATATTCAAAAGCAAGGTTCTAAGATCAATGTTAGGAAAGCGTAATTATAAACATGTTGTTTTGTTTGTTCAGAATATTTTGAGTGGTTTGGTGCATTTAAAACAGACAATGACGATGGGTTAAATCCGATTCATCATAATGGTACATGTATTATATTAATGGTAATGGCCAGATATGCTTCATCACTACCGGTAATTGAAAAGGACAATATTAAATAGTATAATTCTTTCATCTTGTTTTTACCTGATAATTTTTCTTGAGTATATATTCTGTGTAGACTCCAGGCCAATCCAGACAGAGCACAATAAATTACTATCAACAGTAAACCATAAACTGTTATATAAATCTCCCTTGGTGATTCAAGTTTACCTGTCAAGCGTAAACCACCATAACTAAAAAAACAAACATAGTGGTATTTGTTATGGACAATAATTTTAAACTGAGTGAGTGAGTGAGTGAGTAGAGTGAGTGAGTTACTATTTTTGGCAAGTTTGAACAAGAGTGGGCGAGTGATTTAGTGATTGATTTAGTGATTGATTCAGTGAGTGAGTGAGTGAGTGAGTGAGTGAGTGAGTGAGTGAGTGAGTGAGTGAGTGAGTGAGTGAGTGAGTGAGTGAGTGAGCGAGTGAGCGAGGGAGCGAGTGAGTGAGTGGAGTAGATTGAGTGAGTTACTATTTGTGAACAAGATAGATATGGTTTTTGTTTGCAATAATATTTAGCCAAAACACAAGTTTGTGTAATCTGATCCTACCTATTACTGATTCCTGCAAACATCAACAACCACATAGACAACCACTGTAGTCGAGTTAACCGTCTTCTAATTATAGATCTGTACAGTAACGCAGTACTGGCAATTTTTAAATTACTTAAAACCTTAAAATAAAATTCAAAAAAGAAATTGTGAGTGAGTTGCTTTCATCCAAATTAACATCCTATATAGACAGTTAGCAATTCAGGCATACCCGGTATATTATTAGTGCAGTGATTGATATCTGCTTTGCTACTTACTCTTATGCAATGTATGTTACTCCCTGAATATAGGTGTGATCAAACAAAACAGTGTGACCTCTAAGTAGACTTTAGTAGGTACGCTGAGTCAAAATGTCCAGTAAAATCAGAAGTCAGATTATTGACTGCTAAAAAAGTCCTGTCTTCAATAAAAAACAGGTGGCCTAAGCATATTTTATCTATAAAATGTTTAATTTCATTTTACCAAATTAAAAACTAAGTAAAATGTTTTTCAAGATCACCATACTAATAATATGACATTCTGCTGTTGCAATAACACCAGTGATTTTGCACAACTAGTTGCGTCACAACAAATCTTTGCATATCATATCAGCTTAGAGGGCACATTGGAAGAAAGACATTTCCCTTGCACAAGCACACACACCTATATTCAGGCTGTTATTTGCTTGCATTTGTCTCAGCAGAGAGTATGTTTCTCACAGCAATGGTTAACTAAATCCAGCTAATCTTAAATCACTCATCTTCAAAAGATTCATACAATCTTCACTGAACTGCCAAATTATAAATTGCCTCACTACTACACCTTGACAGATCTTCTTACGCAAAAGTGTAATAAAAAGCATCCTCTTTGACATTTTGATAACCCCCATTTTCATGTTTATTTTCAATGTCATATGTCACAATTCTGATTGAGCATGTGTATTAGATTGTGCTTCCAATCAGATCTATATATTTTACCAAGTTCAAATAATCATCATCTTGGTAGAATCACACACAGGTGGGGGTGAGAGTGGCTTGTGGGTGTTTACATTGCAAAACTGTGTTTGATTACAATTTATTTAGGTATGAAAATACATAGAATGTATCTGGTTATTTTAAAGAGCACTATAAGTCAAATATGTAGGACATCAAAACAAATTGATGAATTTCGCTAAAATAAACTAAACTAAACTAAAAATGAACTAAAATATGACATTACCTGGAAGCTAGCAGGATCAATATACAACTGAATATGTACTACTATATTGTTATTAATACAGTAGAGTAAAGCTGGTATTGCAAATGGCACACACTGCATGAATGTGGGTAATTTTAAACTTTTAGAATACACTTCCGGTGCCAGCATGGAAAGCGAAAATAATAACTGAAAAATAAAAATCTGAATTTTAGTATTTAAATTCTTATTGTACAATATATAATAATCTAAGGGTAATAATAATTGCTTATTTGACACAGGAGATCAAAGGGTTATTCTGATTATTAGCAAACAATCTTTGATTTGGGCTTTTGTCTAAGATGCTTTATAAATGAACGTGCTGATCAATTTTGCACAGGAATATAAATATTTACCACAATACATTTTGACTATAGTTGACATTCTATAAAACAGAACAATGATGGTGTAAAACTTACAAGCTGGCCTGTAGTGATGCTAGGTAGATTAGAATATCATCTTGTCACAACAAATATGGTTGCCAAGGTAACATCCTTGTTCATATATATTGTGAACATACCGGTCTATTAAACATTACTGATACTACTAAATATCCACCTACTCATATGTGTAGTATGTATCTTAACAACATGGCATCAACTTGTGCTGTCACATGACTTGGACAACTTTAATTTGCAGAGAAATCAGTTTCATCGGAACAGAAACTTTCAACTGAGTTCTGTATTTCTGAAGTAGCCAGTATTCCGGTGAAAGTCACTGACTCCTTAAGACACAGTTATAGTCACTATGACTCCCTAGGACCCTGTAATAGTCCCTATGACTAAGAACCCCAGTGAAATACACTACTACATGTACCAAACAATGCGATTTTTGTCTTACAAAATGTAAGTGGTTTACAATAATAACTTACTTACTTTATTTAATTCAATGAGTAGCACCACTGATGATGAATTAAACGGAATTTTACCATCTACTTTACATAAGTGTAACAATATAGCATGTGAACCATAGATCAATATCCTGCATAAAATATGAAATGTGAGTGTAGTAACCATCCAGGTAGTCATGGCAAACTAAACAAATGTTAGCCTGAAGTGTTAGTCTGACATGATTAGGGTTAGTTACTGCACCTTTGACATAGATGTATGACCTCATTCTGTCTTAACACTGTTCCTTCATTTACATATATTTTTTATTCACTCTCCTTGACAACTGTTAATGATGCTTAGAAAGATTACAATTCTGCTATTACATTTCTATAATCAATTATATTGTATATCCGAAAACCTTATTGAATACTAGATAATCGACATCAACTGCAAATACTTTAGAGTAGTGAAATTCTGAGTCAATTGCGTAAATTTGTGTGATTAGAAGATCTATTAGTTAATTCTATTTTTGTTCCCCCTGACACTGCACAGTGTATTTGAAATGGCATACTTCAGACCAATGGTTTATATTATTTAGGTGATTTTTTGGACAATATTTTGGAGTTGAAATTCACTCCCATTATCTCAGTGTTTTGTATTAGAGCAAGAGCTTATGCAAAGGTGGGGCAGAAAGTTACTAAAATTGAAACTGCACCTATGAAAATGATGATTCTCATATTGCATTGTTATCTGAATCAACACGTACCGAATTCTGCCGTAAAATTGCCCTATCTGAAAAATCGCCCTGGGTGGTTTCACAGCTGGTAGAGTTCAAATTTTCAAAAAATTATCATCAAATATTTTTAGGGGGCTTGAATTTTTATTGAAAAATCCACCTACGCTGACTTTCAACTCCGAAGGTTGGACCACCCAAAACGAAAGAAACTAAAATTGTACACATTTTTTTCTAACTGGATTAAAAAGTAGACAGCGCATCATTCTCCAAAAAAATCTCATTAACGAACCTCGTGCGCCAAATGCAATTATTTTGTTTCATTTTATTAGTAACGAATGTATATTCTAAAAGAAGTTTCAAATAACAACAAACACAACTGCATTGTTTAGTAGCGAATGATCAAGGTAGCGCAATCCGGTCATGCTGCATTTTACAATTGTTGATTATTATGTAGTAATGATTATAATAACGTGCAAAAAATAAATTTGTTGAATTGTTATGAAATGCAAATAAACTTATTTCATCGTAAGCGAATGATTCCGATCGCATTTTCAATGCTTGATGCTGTAGAAATGAATATCTGCCATGTTTTGACCTGACCTGACAGGTCAAATCGATAATTAACCAATGAAAACGATGGATGATGCCAATGTGTTCAAATTACCATAATACATTTAAATATGTTAATGTTATTGAACCAGCATGGAAGAGTTCTGCCGATGTTATTGTACGATCTTTTGGCTTGGATTTTGATGGCAAATTGGCATGATTTGTTTTTAAACAAAAAAAATAGTTGTTTTCAGAAGAAAAACTGTGAATTTGAACATTATTATCAGCAATAACTCATTGTCGAAACGAAGCTAACCCATTCACGCTAGTCGCAATAAACTTCAATACTCTTAAAATAACACCTTAAAAAACTGCTGAGAAATCGCCCTGGGCGGTTTCTTGGTTTCAATTAATTTTTTTTAAAAACCCCAACTGCCGTTTAACGGCCCTGGGCGAATTTACGGCAGAATCCGGTATATGTCAATGTAGCAATATAGTCTATGTGCATGTGTTTGACATTAAAGAAATAAATTCATATTCTATACATAGTTGGTTATATTGTGTCACCATTTGTTTTAAATGGGTTGCTATTAACAACAAAAATTAAAAGTAACAAGCCATGCATGGTACAGTCCCCATTAGTTATCAAATTTAAGATATATAGTTTTGTTTATAGTAATATAGCTGGAATATAACCATGTCAGGAATATGATTTTTTAACATTAAAATGATTGACATTTGTATCTGATAGTCAAAAAAGTACTTGTCCATATTGAGAGATATTGCTCTGGAACAGCATTCAAAATCAGCCATTTTGAATACATGTATATATATAACATGTATAACGAATATATAAAATTTGAATATAATCAGTCGAAGCATTTAAGAGATATGGCTCTAGAAGCCCAATCATTAAAACAAAATGGCCGCCAGACAGCCATTTTGAATCCAATCTGAAAAATAAATGACGTGCATCAGGAACCTGTAATGTCTAACATATGTACCAAGTTTGAACGAAATCCATCAATAAATGCTTGATATTTAATGATTTTTTAGCACAAAAATGGCCACCATTTGGCCATTTTGAATAGGATCGTCAAACCAATATATCTGTCTATCTATGACATGATGTATAATGAATATTTAAAATTTGAATATAGTCAGTCGAAGCATTTAAGAGATATGGCTCTAGAAGCCCAATCATTAAAACAAAATGGCCGCCAGACAGCCATTTTGAATCCGATCTGAAAAATAAATGACGTGCATCAGGAACCTGTAATGTCTAACATATGTACCAAGTTTGAACGAAATCCATCCATAAATGCTT